TGGACCTTGAAGGGAGTTATAGGAAGGGTTCTTTATGTAAATATGATATATGTGATGTTGTTCTTACATGATGATGGTTTCACTTGTTATACATGATGTTGGTCTAAATTGTTATATATGATGTTTGACTACACTTTTTTATGAGGTCATATGATGGAAATACAATGCTTATGTTCTCTTTTCTACTTGACTTGGTTTGTGTGGGGTTATGGGGCTTCATATAGACATTGCATTAGTTGAGTTGGATTGAGGTTGTAAGGTATTATGACATGGTGATGGAAGGTATTATAAATATAAATTGTGGATTATGGTTCCCTAATGATGTACTTTTGAACATGAATATTGGTATGGTTCATTGTTGTTGTGTTATGGACTTGAAAAGTCTTAAATGTGCATAAAGGCTTTTCAAAAGTGTATTTAGCATGTTTATACTAAAAGGTCCTTTTGTGAATATTTCCTAATGTTTTACTTGCTTATATCCATACTTAGTACATATGGTTTGTACAAAACCATATTCTCTCTATTTCTACAATTATGTAGGTTCACGCCATTGAAGAGTTTCAAGGCCAAGGTTCAAGAAACTTGAATAGATTAGATTCATATGTTGATGAGTCGCCAAGTCCGAGGATGAAACCTACTATTCTAGTTTAGATATTTGACTATGTCTAAGACAATTTTCTATTTTCTTAGTTTGAGACTTCACTATAAGTTTATGAGACATGTTGTAATAGTGACTTTATTGTAAGTTCTATATGAGACATATTGTAATAGGGTAAGGGCTATGTCCCAAACTTTTTGTTTCCGATATTAGATGGTTATGTGTGAGACAATAGTAGACTATGTGGATGAATTTGACTATGTTGATAATTAAGAAGTCTATTTAAACTTCATATCTAGATAAACGAGAAGTCTTTGTATACATCATAAGTAAAGTTCTAATTTTTTCGTGTTTTCTTACCTATGAAATGCGATGATGCATGATGTGGGATTGTCTAAGGCCTCTAAGAGGATGAAGATGCTGGTAACAACTAAACGTTCTCCCCCATCGTGACAAACTTGGTATCAGAGCACGAGGTTGAATAATCTTAGGATTGATGTCTCACAAACCACATCTATGTAGAGTCTTGTTCATGATTGTGAAGCGCGCCACACTTATAAGCCTAGATAAAGTCATGCCACCATGGAGCATTGTCGTACGACACTCTTCCTTCACAATATTGGAAACACCGATCAAGAACCTACTCATCTCATCTCTAGGGTTAGCCACCAAAGATGGAGCATACTTAGACGATAGGGTAAATTTCAAGGAATACTCTTCAACACTCATGTTAACTTTCCTAAGGTTTATAAACTTCTCAACATTAACCTCCCTCTTCTCACGGGGAAAGTATCTCCCTAAGAATGCTTCCTTAAACTCTTCCCATTTTATAGGACCTGATTCCACCGGCCTATTGTCTTTCCATTGAGTGTACCACACTTTGAGCGACATCTTTCAATTAATTTAAAACCAACTCTGCCTTCTCCCTAGAAGTTACCCCCATAGCATGCACTATCTTATACACATCATCCAAGAAGCCTTGGGATCCTCTCCCACCTTAGAGCCAAGGAAGGTAGGCGCATTCATTCTAACAAAGTCCCTCAACCATAAGGTCATGGTACTCTCAAAATCATTCATCCTAGACCCTATTTCTCTATTTTCTTGAGCCGTCATGGCTCGAGCTATGGTAACAAAGGATCCTCTACCCTCTTCATCAGTCATGTTTAGGAGAACCACCGAAACCTCATTCCCTTAATTACCTATAGGGACTTGTTCACCTTGAAGAACTTGTCCACCTTTGGGAGAAACTCCCTCATCCACTCTTTTTACGGGCGTCCTTCTTGTATCCATATCCTATAAACACAAGAGAAGAGATTAGAAGAAGACATTTATAACCTCAACTCTATGGCACGACACAAGAGTAATGAAGACAGTGAAACTTCTATCTTCCTATGGCCTCTTTCTCATAGATGTGTCGTGACTCACACTGAAGAACAAAGCTCTACTAGAGGTGGATTTTACTAAACTTTTAATCCTAAAGTCTACTTCATAACCTTATGCTCTGATAACAAGTTTGTAACGACCCAAGGGTATATCCTAGAAGTTACACGGCATATTCGACCTCTCGGAGGTCTTATACAAGACCTTAGACATCATTCATCGCATATATATGAAAAGTAGTTCGGAATTAGAACTTTTCACAACAATAGTCCAAATCTTTATAGAATATAAGAAAGAACTAACTCTCATCATATCCATGTTAGAAACATATAATATCTTAGGGTCACAGCCCTTACATCAATTTTGAAAAGAACCTATAGTATATTACGAAGTCTTTTAGAAAAAGAAATAAGTCTTGTCCTCGAACATATGAGGACATACCAATCTTGAGAAAATGTTATTTCCCAAGCTTCAAATTCTAAGAGAATCCTCACTTGACACCTACACTTATAGAAGTAGAAACATATGGAATTAGCTCATTTAATGCACTGAGTATGGTGAAGATGCAAGAAAACCATGCTAAAACGGACATTTACTTTAAAACATACTTTTCATTCTCTTTTGGTAGAAACTTCATAAAACAAATATAGGAACCATTTTCAAGTCAATATTCACATATAAGACATATTCAAGTGATTCATAAGAGACAACCATAATCATACACATAAACATTTAAACCTCCTACCAAGAGTTATCCTAAGGCCCACCTAAGTAAGGTATGAAGAGACCGCCCATACAACCCCTTCACACCCTCCTAAGTGATTCTCAAGACTTCACAAAGTAAAATTATTACCTTTTTATCATTTAGACTCTCCATCTAAGGTTTCTCTAAGACTCATCGAAGTAAGACATGAAGAGACCGCCCATACACTCTCTTCAAGCCTACCTAAGCAATCCTCAAAATTACCCTACATAAGAACCTTTCTATTCAACATGCATTAACTAAGTCAACCATATTCATTACGCCATTTAAGAGACCATCAAACAAATATATGACTTCACATAACAATCTTGGAAGAGACCTAGGGAACTCATCCTAGCACCTTCAAGGCCTACTCGTGTCATGTATAGATATCGTCTTATTTCACTACCTACACATTGTAGAACCTATCAATACTAGAGTGTACATCCCATATGATGAGATTAGGAATTAACCGACATACATACTAGCTTGGTATGGAATTTGGTGTCATAAGAACCCCACATCGGGGTTCTTATTTATCTAATATATTTATGTATTTCAGATTTTTAGTCGATTAAATAAATTTTTTTTAATTTTTTTTTATTTCATGTTAATTTTCATATTTATTAGAATCTACAAATCCATTAACATGTTTATTTTGTTTGATTTATAATACATTTATATTTGTTTTTAGGGTTTTATGTTCAGGAAAAGCATTTGTATGTCTACAATATCTTAATCAAGAGTTTATTTGTGTACTCATTCTATCCATATATCAAAAAGTTCTATTTTTTTCTTTTCACATTGTATTTCAATCTCAATTAGTACCAACATGTTTGTATTCATCCTAACTGTATGTTAACAATTTAGTATTTTATTAGGTATTCATTCGGTATTTCAATCTCAATTTATATATGAACAAGTTTGTATTTCTCTTTTATTTTGTATTCAACCTAATTTTATACCAACGGGTTTTGTTTTTATGTGCCTACTTTACCTTTCAAAGTCACTTTGTATTTCAAATGAAGAAAGTATTTCTTTTGTATTCACAATTTAATATTCAGTCTCACTTTGTATTTATAACATTGTATTTTCATCTCACATTTGTATTCATATATTGTTGTATTCAACATATCATGATCGATTAGTTTGTATTTACCTTTCAAAGTCACTTTGTATTTCAAATGAAGAAAGTATTTTTTTTATTCACAACTTTATATTCAGTCTCACATTGTATTTATAAATTTGTATTTTCATCTCACTTTTGTATTCATATCTTGTTGTATCCAACATATAGTTCATGATCGTTTAGCTGCTTTAACTTAATGGGATAATATTATTGTATGCATTCAAATAGAAAAAACAACTACTAAACTAAAAAAATAATTTCATTTGTTATGCATCATAATTTGGATATAAAAAACACTATAAATCCCAATATATACAAATATTTCACTGTTTAACAACACTCTTACACTCGACAAATACAAATATCTCATCCCAAAAAAAATATTGTTATTCTATTGTGCATTGGATTGGACAAATTTATAATCGTCAATTTTGAAAAATTCCGTTTCAAAAATATGTTGTATTCGAATTAAAAAAGCTTTAAAGTTATCATATGAATGATTCAAAAGACAAACCAAATTATTTTTAAATTTTTTTTGATGTTATTAAGAAGAAAGCAGAGAAAAAATGCTCAACCAAAAGATGGCTATTTATGTTCTTTTCAAAAAGTAATTAATTTGTATTTAAAATCTTTTTTTATTTCATGATTTTCTTATTAATTATTTGTATTCTTTCAAATTAAAATAAATACATAACTTATCCCTTAACAAACTAAAATAATGACATTTTTAATAAATAATGAAAGAGTTGCTACTAAAGGGTAAAGTATTGTTATTTAGAAAAATTTTGTATAAATAAATGAAAAATCCGCAAGAAAACAATTTCCTTAGTGACAAAGACACCCCAAATGTTATATATTATGCGGATGAAATTGATGAAGTAGTAATAATTTGATGTTAATCATCAAACCGGAGATGCCGCTTTGCTTTCGGAAGAATCTTTGAAAATGATCGAGGCAAGTGGTTCATGGGATATTGAAATGAAATGAAGCCTACTTGAAGTCTGATGACATAATTATGCAGCAACATAGAGGGGTTGATATTAGCAAAGGAAATGAGATGCAAAGATCTGAAAGGAGTGGATACAAAACAATGTAGAACAAAACTCAACATGTACATACACCGAGAGATTCATATATCCTCGTTTCACAGATTTTGTAAACAAACCTGGCATGGTAATACCTTCAGCATATAAGGCACAGGTTAAACTGAGGAGAAGTAAACCAAAAGGCCGCTATCAAGCATTATAGACTCAAAAAGTACAATAAATTTGGAACCAATGGACCAGTTTGGCTTTTTTTTCTTTTTTGGACCTAAATTTTGAAATTTTATGATATGCTACAGGTGAAGTATCCCTCCATCTTGTTAATCTATCAATTGTAACTTAAACAAACTTTCCACAAAAGCCGATGCCTGATTTTATAGAATATCTACAATTAAGAAAAAAACAAACAAGTTTCCAAATTTTGAACCACCCCCTGCAGTTAGTCTAGCAGATGCTCCACAGTCCATCAAATCAATTCTGCAACCAACCAATAGTAATAATATATAAGGATTGAGGATTAGTTGTAGAAACAAACTACATTTACTTGTATAAAATAGCAATACGCCACGCTAAAACAAGAATATCCTGACCCCTCATTTTTAAAACTGTTAATCATCTTCTTTCTCCCCACAAACTATTTTTTCTTTTCTTTCAAAGCTCTAAAAGTTTGACACAACACTAGCTTCAGTGTAGCATGAGTCTTCATGCATGTTAAGTAACCACCCACGAGTACTCATCCCTCTCCCAGGTTGATTAACGGACTAATATTTTTATCATGCCAAACAAAAAATTGCATATATAAACAACTCATCATCATACCATTGTTGATTCTTCCTGAACTCAGTAAGAACTGGGTATATGTTCTCAAAGGCAGTGTATGTCTCATCTCTAACCTGAAATACAATAAAATCCCTAGTAAGATAAAATGGTAAATCGCCACATAATATACAGAAATTTAGTGAAGAATATTTAACAGGCAGATACTACCTTGGCTCCTGTGATGACAATTTTCCCAGAAACAAAAATAAGAAGCACTATTTTTGGTTGTTTCATGCGATATATTAATCCAGGAAATAGTTCTGGCTCGTACTGTACAAAGAAAAATAAAGATCATAAATACAAGGAAGAATATTAACAATCAAGTCAACATACTGGTTTTATCTGTCACAAATCCCACTAAACAGTTCATTTGATTTTCTATTTACGACGTCCTGATTTGAATAAACATATCACGGTACTGAAGCTCAAGCATCCCCACCTGGACCAATCACTTACCAGGTGCATTAGGGGGGAAATCATTTTAAATTACAAATCATAAATGAAGCACGGGGATTGGTTATACAAGCATACCACTCTCCTATTACGGAACAACTTAACCCTACAAAACAATTATTCAATTTAATTTAGTACATGCTCACGATATTGCAAAAGGGTGGGGTGGACTGGGGGGAATCAAAATGTCACAAGAACGACGCCTACAAGATTCTGACACAAGGCTGATATGCTGGGGTATGAAGCAGACCATGAGACACACTAAGCACTGCATGATTTGGCAAGAGTACTTTGACCAAAAAAAGATGAAGGGAAGCAAGTGTACTGAACGGCCAGAGTTGAGGCGCCAGATTTTATTTATCTTCTCGTATATCATACTTTTTCTCACCCCACCCCACCCCCCACCCACCAAACCCACCAAGGTGGCCAGGAGGGAGATATTCAATCAGCGACAAGGTCATTCAATCAGGAAGGTTGTACACTTTTGATAGGTAACAAGTAATACAGACTGCATGACAAGAAGATACAAAAAGCATGCCGACAAGTTCTTTGTTCTTTGCCAGACACTGGTGTCACACATCACAATCTAAGTTGAGCCTTTGTCCATCTGTATCAAATTCAGTTAAATAATTGGTTTCCTATAACTGAGTGATAATACGCATACCAAAATTTGTAAAATTAAATTGACCAATAGAATTATATTTTAGGAAAAACATATTATAGTAGGTACAAGGAGAGGTAGACCGAAGAAATACTAGAAGAGATGATTAGATAGGACATGACCTTAGATAGGAGAGCGTGGAAGACGCATATCGGGGTAGAAGGTCAGTAGATAGTGGAATGTTCTCTTACTTTCCGAGGGTTTAGGCGTGTTGGTGTTTGTCGTGGTACTAGCTGTAATATTGTTGTTCTTGCTTTTGATATCTATAATAGTTTGTTGTGTACTGTGTTTCGAGTGTCGCACTATGTTGTTCTTATTCCTTTCTTGCAGGATTTGCACTGCTTCCCTTGTTCATTGCTATATTTTTTCCTCACTGTTTCTTACTCTTTGTACTTGGACTTCCTACAATTAAACGGAGGTCTTTCGGAAAGAGCCTCTCTACCTCCACGAGGTAGTGGTAAGGTCTGCGTATACTCTACCTTCCTCATACCCCCCACTTGTGAAATTCCACCAGGTATGTTGTTTTTGTTGTATATTATAGTAGTAATTGATAAACAATAGTGATAAGGAACATCAAATCATGGTTTAAGTTTGAAGTGTTGATAAATATAAATAGTAGGTCTGAAGTACTACAGTGTGTTTAATATTTCAGACCAGTCAAAACAGGAGATGTCAATTGGATAGGTAATCAAAAGTTCAACGAAAACCATGAGCTAGTTGTTTCTCTGATTAATGGTCCAACCACTTTGAGGAAAAGATTTACATTTCCATGCTTGCTTATACTGTGCTACCAAAAGCTTCTGTTAACCACGCATAAGGTACCAGAGCCTACAAAGTTCTGTGTATTGCTAATAGCCATCATGTGCAAGACAATTGACATAAAGGAAAACAGGTCAACAATATCTAATATCTAAAACCAACAACAAATCAATTTTGGAATTTTATCTGTTACTAATGAAGACTAATAAGTAGGAAGACGTAATGAGGAAAAGGTGAATATTACCTCCAACAATATAATTCAAAAGGAATGATATATTGAAATTTTAAAATTTGTTCTGATATACATACAAATACAGGATTATACATATGAAGACTGAACAGAAAGAAGGCAAATAAATGCTCAATTTTGTTGGCCAGTAGCATAATCAAATAATCAAAATTCCATGAAGGGCTTATAGGTACAATAGACATCACAATTGCAATATAAAATTATGCACACTGATATATGTCAATACTTACACTTGAGAAAGCACCGTGGGCATAAGCAAGGCCTTCAAGTCGAATAGGAAATTTAACATCACAAGAACCAACTATATTCTGGATCTTAAAATCCTGCAATGGAGCAAAATCCATATAAATAACTTAAACATATAGCAGAAACAACAAAAAGAACAAAGTTACAGACTAGGGATTGTTTGGAAACAAGTGTTCCTTTATTAGTGTATTGCTTCCACAATACTAGAACCAAATAAGAAAAGGAATGTCTAAAAGAGTTCTAAATCATTTTGAAGCATTTCAAAACAAGTACTAATTCTTGAAATAAAAGAAATATTTCTTCGCCGCGTCCAGAACATTGCAAAATGAGTACTGCATGCTTTCAATCACATCCCAGCACGGAAGCAGCTAGAGGGTTTCTTCTGCACAACTTGTTGATGGAGGTAGTGAGTTTACTTTTTCCCTCGACTCTAGGGAATACAAAGCACCAGAGCAGTTGCATCGGTCACCTCCTCCGGGCTCAAAGCAGTATTCTGGTTTGTCTTTTGTGCTGGAATCCTAAATGTACTTGAAAGTCCTCTAATTTATTTATGCGGGGCTCAAGTGAAAATATTTACCAGCATTGAACGGTTGGATCCAGATATAGTGGAATATATCCATTAGGTGTAGTTCTGAAGTAGAACCTTAGAAAAGGGTTTGCACTCATGGAAAAAACATCTAAAACTGTAAATAATGTAGTAATAAGGATGGGAACATAAAAAGTTATTTTCTTCTCTTTCCAATTTTTTTGCTGAAGAGGCAGGTTTCTTCTACCAATCTGTTATTTTCATTTCATATTCAGGATGAGGGAAGGGATGTGTCAATATTTGCCTATAAAATGTCAAGAAACTGAATAACTGAGCGATGGTGGTTACCTTAAACTTGGCTGGAAAACCAAGCTTTTGAATGATTCTAGCATACTGAAAAAGATTAGGAACATCAAAATAAGAAAGATAAGTACTTGAAAAATAAAAAGAAATTTGAGAACTTGACAATTTCTTAAAATAACCACTACTCCCTCCGTTTTATTTTACTTGGACTCTCTACAAAAAATAAGTTGTTCTTTTTACTTGTCCATTTCAGCAAATCAAGAGAGTTGTACTATTTCTTTCCCATAATACCCTTAGTATTCAATAACAACATAAAGTAATAATAGTCAAATTTCGAGTTCCGTTCTCCGGTTTGCTTGTGCTATTTGCAAAGTATCACAAATAAAATTAGTTTAATGAAAATACCCTAACAAAAGTTTTCTTAAGGGTTGTGCTAAGTCAGCATGGGTCAAGTAATATGAAATGGAGGGAATATAAGACATTAAAAGCTCGTTGAACAGTCTGGACCTTTCAAGAAATGTACTAGACTGATCCTTAATCCAAATTAGAATTATCTGATTCACCAAACATATATTAGGGTCTGGTATCACAGAGGATACAATACTAGCTATTAACTAGTACATACTTTCCGGGCTGCCAACTTTGACTGTTGTTCACTTTTGGCTCCAGTACAAACCTGAGACGGATAAACTAACAATTAAAAAGCGAATAACAGAAGCTTTTTATCACCAGCAGATAACAAAATGAATATTTACGGACAATGAGAAGTTCATCAAGGTTATGTAAGAAATTTCCAGAATTATTCAAACTAATTAACAACTTGATCAAAAACAATGCCAATACTGGCTATAATTAAGCCCATCAAAAGCCGTTTAGAACATACCATTTTCCCAGAAGCGAAAATCAATGCTGTAGTTTTTGGTTCTCTAATTCTCATGATCACTGCAGCAAAACGCTGAAAGCACAATAAATTGTTTAAGTAATATATACTTTCATCCTCAATTGCTTGACAAAGAAAAACTGCTGACACAACATTGAAACACAATAGTCTGTTTCAGCAATCCTACTAGAATACAGTGATGAAACAAGTTATGAAGTTTAACTTTAGAAACAAATATAAACAATTGCTACTTAGTTGCTTTATACACAAATTTTATGTGTCAAAGTAAAATGTTTTACACATCTACCTTCTATTAATAATAGAATATACCTACTTTTGATGATTCATGGATTACTTTGTATGAAACTGGTGCAATTCTATTAATTTGTTAAATCTTAAAAAGGAACATAAAATATATCGTTTTAGAGCCTTTCCCAGATTTTCATAAACAAGAAGGTAAAAAAACAAACAGAGGAGACATAATTAAGTAGATATCCAATAACAATACTGACCAATTCCTAGCTAACATGGTCCAGTTGGTAAGCAATTAAGAGAGCTTATTTTGGATAAGTGAAAGAGGCTCACATTGAAGGCTAGCTGATCAACTGATAAGACTTAATAATTAACTACGTTGTTAAGTGCCAAAAAGAATCAAACTGGGTCTTGTGGTATGCAGATCGTAGTTGTGGAAACAAAAAATGGATGCAATCCACAAAAAAGAGAATCAAATAAATGGAGAAGATTTGGCCGATAATGGATGCAAGCCACAAAGGCCCAGAATACTGACTTTTTGTAAAAGATCGAGCACCAGCCTTTTATCAAAATTCAAGATGGATTATGATTTGACGTGCCACTTACAGACCAAGTTCAATAAGTCAACATTGCATGGCCATATACATTCATGTACAAATATATTAAAACCGTTGACAAGTTATGCTCAAACCCAAGCTCAGGAAGCTGATTATCCATGTGTGTGTACATATAAATAAGACGCCTAGCTGTTCTTTTAGGCATTATGCAGAAAATGGAGAACAAAGGACCATTTCTCAGAGCTTTTTTGTATACTCAAATACAATGAGAAAAATAGGTACATCAGTTTCAATGCCTTACAAGGCCAAAAAATCTATTATTATCACACCGGAAAGTACACACGGAGGTGGGTGGACAAACATAGCCCACAAAATAGCAAGATTTATATATGAACCAGAAAGGGAGAAGCAGCCTCAAACGGTCACTGCGAGCAAACTAGAGATGTCCTTCAAAGAGGCTGCAACACTAATAGATGGGCAACAGCAGCTTCAAAGAAGGCGGAGATTCAAATAAATGATGCCAGCATTGAAATCACTGAAGACATGACAGCATTAGAAAAAGATCTTTTGGGAAGATGCTTAGTTGGTAAGTTCCAATCACAGGAACCTCCAACCCTGAACGACGCAAGGGGATGAGCAAACAGCTCATGGAAATCAGCTGTGAGCGTCAATGTTCATGCGATGAATGACGGACTCTTTCTCTTCGAGTTACCATCAAGGAAAAGTGCATAACATGTGCTCAATGGGGTCTGGGAGTGGAAAAAGACGAGAGTAGTGCTGGAATGGTGGACACCCACTTCAGGCTGCTGGCCAGCGGATATAAATAGAGACTGGGTATGGGTCAGAATTCTAGGGCTCCCACTAAATTTGTGGACTCAAAAGATTCTCAAACAGATTGAAGATCAGTGTGATGGATTCATAGAGATAGAGAAGGAAACAATGCTGAGAAATCATCTACAATGGACTCGTATCAAAGTTAAAGGAGATGGCAAACTAGTTCTGACGGAGATAAAAGTAACCAGGGATGGACTTGTGTACAATTCCAATATGGGGGAGGCACCTGTCACTATCAGGGCTGACAGGGAGAAGAAAGAAGGATTAGGCCGAGGACTTAGGATAATCTGATACAGCAGTCTATGTGGGACAGATACCCAATTTGGTGAAAGTCTTAGGAATCCACGAGGACAGTCACCTGGGTACATCAGAGGAAGGGGACATTTTAAATTTAAAGACACATGGAATACAATTAAAAGGAAAGGGGCCATTTATAGTGGTTAGTAGTATTGGCATGTACTCTGTGCCTTGCAGTTTTACTGGGGAAAAAACAAGTGCTTGATTGGCATTTAACAGGGCTTTATGCTCCTAATGGGAGAGTGGAGAGGGAAGAGACAGGGGGGAGTTAAAGGCTGCTAGGGGTCTAATGACAGGACCAAGGGTTCTGTATGGTGACTTCAACACAACCAGACACCCCTCAGAGAAGAAGAATTGCCACAGAATCAGTAAAGCAAAGACTGATTTGTCAAAGTCCATAGAAGACATGGAGCCTATGGATTTAGATCTAAAAGGGGGAAAGTATACTTGGGGAAAAGGGGATAGGCGTGATACAATTGCTATACTGGATAGGATTCTTATCTTAGAGGATCCAGATAGCTGTTTCTGACACTAGTAACATTGTATTTCAGTCAGTACTTAGGTAGTACTGAAAAACCATATTTACAAAAGGATCTAGATAGCTGTTTCAAGAACATAAAACAAAGTTCGCTTCAGAAAGTAACTTCAGACAACTCCCCTATTATGCTACAATGTGGGGACTGGGAGAAGTCCAAATCCTATGTCAAATTTGAGAACTGATGGTTGTAGACCGAGGGTTTCAAAGAGAAGACTTAGAAGTTAGAACTGGTGGGATTCTTTCAATAGTACTGGCAATCCAGATTCTGTACTTATGACAATGATGAAAGCTTTGAAGGCAAAACTCAAGGAATGGACAAGTCTGCAGGAGAATTTAGGAATACAAAGACAAAGTGTGTTGACACAACTAGAAGCTTTAGATGGAATTCAGGAGCACAGAGCGTTACATGGGGAAGAAACACCACTTTCTTTCATAGAACTGCTAATGCACACAGAAGGTTCTTATGTATTTTTTATTATAAATAGGGCAACCTCCACATACATATATATTTACTACATGCAAAGCTCCGTGTCAACAAGGGCCAAACAAAATCATACTAAATGTGGTCTTATGTACTTTTCGGCCTCAATTTATGGGACAGATTTTACTTTGTAGTTATCCCAAAAGATGACACATTTTCTTATTTGACACGTGTTTGATAACTTTATCACATTTTGTCCATGTTGGGTCCTCGGCCTCCTTATTTGGGGAAGGAAATCTATTACTGATGTGGGACCAAACTATCAGCGGAAAAGCATATGTAAAGCACCTTTAAAGCATAGACATTGAAATTCCTAAAACACCTTCGGTATGGAGTAGGCACGTCACCGAAGAGGCATTTTTTGTACAAACAATAATTATTGTATATATATCATTATAAAATTTGTGTATATAACTTATTAATTTGTTTTGATTTTTATTCAGTTTGTTTTAAAAAAAAACGAACCAAATATTATCGAATATTTAGAACATAAATCCAAACCAAAACCAAATAAAAATCTGATTATTTAATTGATTTTAACCAAACCATGAACACCGGTAGATATAAGAATACAAGATGAGCATGAGCAAGTTTTCACAGTTAAATATAATCACCCAGCTAGTAGCCATGTAACCAAATAAATAAGTCAGCCAATGGATGAAATAGTTAAATGGACCCACAGCCTCATAAAAGTAGTACATTCTTTCAACTAAAAGAACGGAACTGCCCTCATGATTCTTGCTGAAGCACACATGTCGACATAGACCAATGTGCTATATATAGAATGATTCCTATAATAAAATAGAACCGCAAAAGACATTCTGCCTGTCTCGGCTTCCACAAGAAAAAATTTTCATGTTATTATGTAGGAAAGAATGAAAAGAGATTAAGGCCTTAATATCACACAAGTTGGTTGATGATTGAGCTGAATGATTTACTGGCAGTAATTTAATTTTAACATATCGAATGACGTCGGGACTTAATTTTTGAGCCAAGAGAACTAGAGCATGAGCCTCGGTACTAGTTGTGACCAAACATTCAAAAAGTCAGACCACTATGTTCATAGGTCCTTAATTATGGCCATTGTAACTCCCTTTACACTTCTTTTGGTGAGCATTAGCAATATGAGACAATAAAATTCATTCACAACTTAGGCTTTGTTTTTAAAAACACTGTCTAGGCCAATGTGCACGAACCTCGACTCATTTTATGGGGTACAGTCCACCAAGGCTTGGACACATGGGAAGAAATCACACACTTCGACATTAAAAACAAATCATTTGGGGTGGAATCCTTATATAAAAACGTCATTTGGGAAACCACTAACAAGAGAAAATTGACTCATGAGTTGTCAGAAAAACAGTCACATGCTCAAATAAACATTTAGTTCCGCGGGAAACTTCTATTATCTCCCAAAATTCAGAACCACGAAAGCAACAACACTCTGTTTGTTTTTTTACTTTTCAAATTCATGATGTTCAATACAAATCAAATGAAAGCAACAGGTAAGCAAAAATAGAAAATCTCCTACAGTCTCATAAGAAGATCTAAATAGTACATAGCTCCATTCACATATCAGATAAAACACATCCTGAATGTGCATTCAAAAGATCTAGTATCTTATCAGTATCACCAACTACAATAACAACTACAACACAGAAATATACCTTCGGATTGTACTCTGCATTTCGAGCTTGAAGTGCAATAGCTTTTAGGTCCAACTTGCAGTCCAAATTAACCGTTGAGACAATATTCCTAGCAGATAAAAGAATGACAGATGCATATATCACTTAGTGAAAAATATACTTTTAACAAACACACTACTACCGCTTGCACCAATCACCTCACATATTAGAAGTAATTATATCACTCATTGAACTTATGTAAACAGAAATCACAAGTATGTTTAGGTGAAAATAAAGCATACAAAGAAAAATTGCTAGGTAATAGTGGAAGAGAATTATTGACTAATTAGATATTTACACGTCTTTTAATGTTCTAAACCTGTTTGACAAGACCCAAATATTTGGCATCACAAAGTTCTAAACAGAAGTTACTGCCGGTTTGGATAGTCTTATATCAAGTTCCTTTAAGCCAAATAGCTTTTAAGCACTTCGGTAGTATTAGAATGTAAAACAAAAAGGTGCTTTTAAGGCTTAAGCACTTGTTTTTAAGACAAAAATAAGCCAAAAGTCATAACTTAACATTCCTAACTTATGTTTGGCTTATAAGGCAAAAGCTATAAGCCCATCCAAGCAGGCTCTTGCTTGTTGAAACTTCTCAAAGTTCTTGATCAAAAAATTATGACCCAAACTTCCTTTTCTCGAAATTTTCAGTTCCCCGCCTCCAATTTCTCTATTGTCTATGTTTTTCTTGATAACCAAGAAATCCCCGAGGGAGTGGTGGATATCAGTACTACTCACTACATTTTAATGCAATTGATAATATTTGTTTTCTAAAACAATAATTTGAGAATTTATTACACTACATTCTAAAAAATCAAATAAAACACTAAGTTACTTAGACAAGAATAAATGATCAATGACATGTAAACAATTCACTTACTGGTTTTCATAAGTGATAAAAGTCAGTAGAAGTGATAAGAATTAACTTACTGGAGCGTAGGGACTATTCCAGAAGGGTGCTTGGTAAGATCCACTGGCTGGCTCCCCTCTAATCCCTGATCTGCCATTCCTCTTTTGACCTAGTCCCTTCCGTACACAAAACTCTACAACAAGGGATTAGCAGATAGAATCAATTTCTGATTGATGAACAATACAATCACTATGAACCAATGTCAATCTAGTTGGGTATGTTATATAAAACCCTCACTATCAACTTAGCTCTATTTTAGAGCTTTTCCAATTTAAAGTTGAGCTCCCTAACATTTATACCGAGTCAATATTTCTTCATCAATTATGAGAATAGTAATTCCTCCAAACCATAGAACACCAATCTCAACAGAAAAAAATGTTTATTTTCTGTCAATCAAAACCGATATTTATTTCTTTTTTGTTTCTCTTATCAATGGTTATTTTTCCATTAAACCCAACATGGAGAGAATCAGAACAAATGTTGCTAAACCAAAAAATAATAATTTATATTCCTACAACACAAATTGGGTACAATTGAACTGATACACAAATTATTACAATAGAAGTCGAATATTTAACAAAACATGTGGCGATGATGAAAAAAGGGTCAGATCCAGACCTACAAAGTGAAAAAATCTAAAACTAGGGTTTGCTGAAATTCGAGGATTTTGTTTGTTGTTGTTGTAGCGGGTAAAGAATTTGAAAGAAGGATTCTTTTATATGAAAGATCTTTGTAGAGCGAAAGGAAGGATGAATATATATAGAGAGAGGGAGGGTAAAGGGAAGGAAGAGTTGTGAGGAACAACGATCTAAAGAAAGACCTTATGAGGCGTGTGGTAATTCGAGTATTTGTATGATAACCTGTGCTATGTCTAATTTACTATATTACCCCTCAGTTTACAATAACATATTTATGACCTTTCTCAATTCAGCCCCATATTATTAATACCAAGTATATCAACACGTTTATACTCATATAATTGGCCATTTTGGATTTAAATACATTTTCACCCCTCTATTTTTACTTCTATAATTTAATAAATTAGAAAATAATTTATTATTCACGTGATAATTTTTTTGAGAAAAAATGATTTAATGACCCCTCCCAACTTATTATCAGTTTTTCAATTATATATGTATTTTTCGCGAGAATTCTATTAGCCCCATGAATAATTACGTTAAAATAGAATAAATAGCCTTTGAAGGGCATAGAAAGGATAAGTTGTCTGTTTTAATTTCTTTCTTTTTCTAATTTTCTTTTTACTTTCTTCTTATTTATCTATACAATTATACTCTTGTTTGGTTTGAATACTAGTTGTGTTAGGATTAGTTATGTTGGAACAAGTTACTTTGGGATGAGTTTTTATTGCTTTTTTGTTTGTAATATTAAAACTATTTCTATATATTTTTAGGATAAGTTGTTTGTTTACAAAAACACCCTCATCTTATTTTATAATTTTTTTTTTACATTTTCTTTGCAAGCTTTAGTTATTCATTCTTAAAAATAAATTTGCATCTTATTTAGCTTAAATATTTTTGTGTGTGCATTTCGTTATTGTGTCGTATATTTTCAAAATTTAAATGTTCATCTTATTTAACTTAAAATTAAACTTTCATCTTATTTAGCATAAAAATAAAATGTGCATCTTATTTAGCTTAAAAATAAATTTTTCTTCTTTTTTAGCTTAAAAGTAAAACTTTCATCTTGTTTAGTTTACAAATAAAACTTCCATCTTATTTTGTAAGTTTATTAAAGTAAAAAAAAATTATCATTAAACTTATCTAGATTTTAATTATAGATAAAATATAATTTTTAAATGATACTATTTAGTGAAAAATATGTAATTTAGTAGTTGAGTGAACATTTAAAGAGAATAAAAATATAAATAAACATAATAATTACACAAATCAATTCAACTTATAATATATTCATAAATAAAAATTGTATTTATAAAATGTAAATTTTTAATAGGAAAATATATTTATCATAAAAAAATATTAAATAATTAAGGTTGCGAATGTTATTTTATAAATGTTGTTAAAAATTATGTTAATATTTAATGAATGTAAGAGTAGTGTATAAAAGAGAGTTTAAGGGGGATATTTTTGTTAATTTTACACACTTTATTCCAGGATTACTTATCCTATGATTACTATATCACCTCCATTTAAATCCCACTAAAAAGTTATCTCAAGATTAATTCATCTTATCCATCACACCAAATGACTTAAGATACCTAATACTTAGATCATCTCCTAATCAACCAACTTCCCTAACTAGAGTCATTCTTAAGACTTATCTAGGTAAGATAAGAAGTGACCATTCATATGCCTCCTTCACACCTTAACTAGACAACCCTTAATTACTCTAGATAAGTACTACTTCATTTTAACATACTTTCTTAACTTAAGACATTACATTCACTAGTTCATTAAGAGGCATTTAACACATAAAGGACATTCAAGTAATGGTCGTGAATAAGACCTAGGGATTCTCACTAACACCTTCAAAGCCTATTATGCAATGTCTAGTTAGCGTCCATACCACCACCTAAACTTCATAGAACTTCTCTAATGCTAGTAGGTACCCCATATGATGAGAATAGACAATAACCGACATAGACCATAGTAGCAACTCATGGAATTTTGGAGTCTAACCTACTCCGATTAGGGTGTTCTACTTTCCAAGGGTAGAACTAGGACACATCTCATGTGGGCATATGCTTAAGGAATATGAAGGGCATTCTTTGTAATATAGTCTCATACTTAACTATAACTACTCCCTTTACCATACTCACTCGGTGCTAGCCTTCGTTCTCATAGAGTAATTCACATTAAAGGTTCACATAAGAGGGTTTCATAACAAGTTCATAACCCAATCACATTTACCCTACCAAAGAAATGTCCACTAGGTCTACCTTACAATGGCGACAAGAAGCTCATGATGACTTTCCTAAGGATTAATATGATGCCATTCCAGCTAATTAACCTTAAGTCCATCATTCCTTTACTTTGACGGATACCATTACGACTTACGACTTCAACATACATAATCTTACCATTAGATTCAGGGTTTCACATAAATGACCCTCTTAACATCATTCAAGGTCACATATCACTCATACATTCCAGACTAAGAGAATTAAGCATCCTAAGTCAAGAAATCACATATTCATACTCATACAAGCATCAAGTAAAGGACACAAGTCAACCAAGACAAGACACCACATACTTCACCTTAACACATGTTACTAGTAATTCTATAAGCACATAGGAATAACCATTATCATATTTAAGTCATCCTACACACAACCATATCATCATCAATATAGCTATTATAGACGCATATAGTCAAGTAGGAACAACCATGTATCGACCCTAAGACTGCACATAGAAGCACATAGTCATAGTTGACATGATTTCCTAACATACATAACAAGAACAAATACTTTCACATTGCTTCACATATAGATAGATATACACATATTTCACATAAAACAACTACACAAAACATTATAGTACTTCAAGTAGTGCCAACAAGGCCACGATCATTATATTGCATAAAGTAATGCCAACAAGGACACATCAATTCACATAGCACTGCCATCATAAGTGGACCATACCAATCAAAACATAATTGAAGTCTAATTAAGATGAAATAAAAGGAATTAGGGCAGCATTCCCCCACTCCATCTTACTACTTCGATCCCAAAACTAAATCATCCAATTTAATAACATAAGGCCCTTACCCATGGCCATGAACATCAATTAAATACATAAGCTATAATACTCAATGAAATCTAAGTTAATTCAATATAGATTTATCAATCTAAAACCAATTAGATATAAATTGAATACAATTCTTACATCATTAGAAAGCCCATAGAAATCTACACTAGAATCCATAAGCATTAAGTCAATATCAATTCAATAAGCTTAGCATGCAATATATATAAGAGTATTCATTACTCAATTAATCAAATTGAAATAGACTATACACCATACATACATAATATATACATGAATCAAAAGCGCATGACAATCTACACATGAATTCATGAATATCAAAGCATAATCACATAACCCATATTTTAGTCAAATTGAGAGATTTGTGAATGTCAAGGGTTCATAGAGAATTTCATTGGAAAACATCAATTAAATCATATATAAATGTTTGGAAACCATTTATGCAAGAACACAAGACTTAAGTAGAAATTGGACTTTTTCATCTTTTTGAAATCTTTGAGGATCATCTTTGAAATTGGCTCAAAGGTTATAGAAAGCTTTAGATGATAAACCACCATACCTTATTTGAAGAATCCAAAACTAATTGAGTAAGAAACTCCATTGAAGACCCATCTTCAAGCTCCATCTTCACTTTGAACTCATATGGAGATTTTTGGAGGAACTTTTGGAGGGAATATGTTTTGATTTAGGTGTTAGGGTTATAATGAGAGTTTAATAACTTATATACTCTTAAAATACCCATAAACACTCAAAACAACTTTCCTCACATTTGATAAGACTTGGGTGAATTTACAATGTCACCCCTTAAGTTAACAAAAAGCTGGCAGAAAACAGGTAGCCCATCGACGGTCTATGGTCTCACCCACATCCCGTCGATGGGTAATCATAGGTTGCACATACAAGTCCCTAACCTGCAGGACAAATGACTCCATCGACGGGCCGTTGCGTGGTTGGCTGGACGTCGTTTGGGTCATCGATTACCATTGCCTGGAAGTGGTGAACTCCAATGTTGGGGTCCTCATTTAGGGCCCCTTGCAGGTCCTACTTGGAGTCGTACTCGGACGTTTCCACCCCAAATATTTTCGTATAAGATTATAGGACCTACCACATAACTTTCATCCAAAACGAATACGTAAAACTCGACGAAACATACGTAGACACAACCATGTTAAGCTCTAGCTTCACCTAAGCCATTTTCGAGGTCTTACAAAGGTACACATGTGCATATACAAGGTCCCATACCCTTTCCCATACTAGTACACCTATCAAGTCATCCTAGTTAAGGGATACATAACATACTTTCATGGACTTAAGGTTAGCATGCATAATAGTAGACATTAGTGAATATGAGAACTACCTTTCATTTAGACACCATGACCTATACTACTTGTAAGCATGCATATAGAGTGAGAGTGTGTGCATTGGTCAACATGATCACATAATGGCTATCAACAACACATTGAAGAAGACACCCTCTTAGGACCACAATACACAACCAAGCATAGACCACACAACACATAATAGCATAGGAAACAAGCCAACTTCATATTACACTTATTACTCCTAACTTTTGCTATTCATGCATTCACATAGGGGTACATAGATAGTAGTCATCATTCCTTATTATTTCATTAATGGCATCACATACACATAACCCTAACATAATCATTCTCATGCTCATAACAATAGTAACATAACCTAGATTCACAACTAGAGTAGAAGACTAGGCACAAGTTACACATAAGGTGATCATCATAACCACACATTCATACATTCATCAATTTGCCTTCAAGGCCATGGTCAACACATATATAATGACAATAAACTAAACACCACCACCATAAGTGGACCATACCGCACAATATCATACAAGGCTTTATCAATGAACAATACATAGAAAAGCAAAGAAGTAGAAGAGCATAACAATTCTTACCAATCCTTTAGCCTTTGGTCATCATTGACCATTACTATTCCTTCATCAACAATTAAAGTATAACTCAGTAGCTAAAGTATAATAATCATATATGAAGTCATGTATAAGCTACTACAAGACTATGTCACAAACTAGTACAATACATCACC